AAAGTTATTAAAAAATAAATGGCGAAAATGTCACAATCCCCTTTTAAAAGAAATATGAAATAAAAATCAATAAAAATATAACGCTATTTTTGAAAAATGCAATCATTTAAATAAAGTATGTACATTTTCCTTTTATTTAAGAAAAAGCCTTAATTGAGTTAAGGACCTGAGCTAGTTCTGAGTCTAGAAACGGCTGGGCTTTCTTTTGTTTCTTTGTTTTGGAAGAAAGCAAAGGGGACAAGAGAGAGGATTTTCCCCGTGTGTTAATATTTCTGTGTTCCCAATTAGGGCTGTGGTTGTTCCCACACAACATTTACAGTCACTTTTATGTCAATTGTCCCAGCAGCAGCCTGGTCCTGTCTAGCCAGACAGGGAAACCGCATTGGGTTGTCAGAAATAGTCAGGATTTCATTTGGCTGTGCTAAAATCCCAGCAGAATCTAAGGGTACTTCTGCACTGGAGCTGGAGGTGCTAGCTTTGATTGATCAAGTGCACTGCAAATAACAGGGTAGTCCTGGCAGCACAGAGAGCAGGAGGGGCTTAGCTGTCTTGAGTCTAAACCTAGGTCTTCGGATTGGACTCAGGGCAGCTAGATTTGGCTGTTTTTCGAATAGATGTGCACTGAGTTATTTCGGAGACATTTGTTGTTACACTAGATTTTCAATGATCACGTGGTCCCTTCTGGCGTTGGAATCTGTGACCACAGTCAGGCCATGTTTCCACTTGAGGCACCGGAGATCAATCTTCTGGCGTTTGACTTAGTGGGTCTAGTAAGGGCCTGCTAAATCAAACATGGAGGGTGCCCCACAGTTGGCGCTGATACTCCTACTCCTCACGAGGAGTAAGGAAAGCTGATGGGAGCATCAATCTCCCACTGTGAAGACAGCGCCAAGATTGGCTTAACGTATGTCGATTCCAGCTCTGTTATTTACATAGCTGGAGTTGTGTACCTTAAGCCGACCTTCTGGGTCTAGAGTAGACCTGGCCTCAGTGCATGTGCAGATACCCAAGCTGGAGATTACGTGCCCAGCTAGTCCTCGTGTAATTTTCCAGCTTCACCCTTATGGAGTTTGCTCAGAGTGATGTGACGTCACGTTCATCATTTCGATGCTTACCTCCTCTCCCCAGACCTAGTCAAGCTGCTCAAAGAGATCCATTTCTATGCAGTGTTGGCCGGGGTTCGAGTTGCGCTCGTTTTGAGTTATTGGAGGCAAAGAATCTCCCAAGTCTTAGGCAATGTCCACGTTACAGACCTTACAGCGCCGCAGCTGTACCGCTGCAAGTGCACCACTGTAAGGTCTCCCGGGGGGAGAGAACTCGCCTGCTGGCCTCATTAAACCACCCCTAATGAGCAGGGCGAGTCTCTCCTGCTGGCACACCGGCACTTTTGTTGGCGAAACTTACGTTGGTCAGGGGAGTGTTTTTTCACATCCCTGAGCAACAACATTGTTACCAACAAAATGTCTAGTGTAGACAAAGCCCTTCAACTCTGCATCAACCTCCCTGATCAATGGTTCAAAAAAAGTAATGGGATTTCTTTCCAACTTTCAACAACAGCAGCACAGTATCTCCTGCCGGAGACCAAACTAAACTGTGGTCCCAAAAGAGACGTTTTCAGAAAGTTTTATGTATATGGGAAAGTGAAAGTTACAATGGAAGCTCACATGTAACCTTAGCGATAGAAGTTACTACAAAAATGATACACTCTAAAATACAAAAAGGATACGTCACACGTGTGTACACTCTGTGCGTGGAGGCATTCCCCAGGGGATAAATAGCAGAACTGCATGATAAATTGCAAAGCCGGGAAGTCAATATTTTTCGTTCACATTGGTGCTCTTTTGTTTAAAAGAATTCCACCTGCCCTTGAAATGTTTCCTCCTTTGCTCCCCATATATGGTGTTTCTTGCAGCTGTCCCCCTGTCCAAGGCCCGGGGCAGGGGGAAATCCCCCATTTAAGAAAGCAGGGAATGATTTCCCAGCAGATTAATTTAATTGGAGGTGGCGCCGGTGATGATGGCTTTCGTAAAAGTTGCTTCTAACTTGCTATTATGATCCTCTGTTTTCGGTTGCTTCGAACCTTGCCACACTGAAGTGTGAAGCCTTTTATATAAATGTAAAGAACTGGCTGAAAAATAAAAGTAGTTCACAAACATGCCAAGAACTTCCAAGATGGTTTTATTATTTTACTTTTGGAAATGGGTTGATTTTCATTTTGTGAACATTTCTGCTGAAGTTTAAGCACCCTGTATCAGTTTACAAATAGAACATGGTCCGCTTTTAAACATTTCACTGTGGGACTTACCTGGCTACAACGGTAGGACAAGAAGCAATGGGCTTAAATTGCAGCAAGGGAGGTTTAGGTTGGACATTAGGAAAAACTTCCTGCCTGTCATGGGGGTTAAACACTGGAATAAATTGCCTGGGGGGGTTGTGGAATCTCTATCACTGGAGATATTTAAGAACAGGTTAGACAGATATCTATCAAGGAGGATCTAGACGGTGCTTGGTCCTGCCGTGAGGGCAGGGGACTGGACTTGATGACCTCTCGAGGTCCCTTCCAGTTCTCGTGCTCTGTGATTCTATGCCCAATGAAAACTGACAACGAAGAAGAAAACCCCTCACATAAAACCAAAATCTAATAGCACACCCAGAGAATAGAAATGAAAATGGGTGATGAACAAAACATGAAATGTCAGTTGAAAACTGTTGAGATTGGAGAGGTTTTTTTGCCAAAATTTCTTGTTTTGGAAACTGGGTAAATATTGTTAATATATTTTTAATCATGTCCATCTGAAGTTGCTCAGGCATTTGGAATGTTAGAAGTACTGAGGATATGAGAAAGGGGTAGAGCCAGGGAGCTCGATAACCATGCATGAAAAATTCATTTATCAGATGTATCCACAAGTTAGCCCGTTATCTAAAAGCTGAAATAAAGCCAGGCTTGAATTGACTAGACCCAGGGCTTGTGTGATGAGCAAAAGTTTTCAAAAGAAGAGGTTAGTTGGACCCATTTCTCTCCTGTCCTCCAACCTGGGGTTGTCATTTATACCTGCAAAATGGTTGTGAAATGCTTCTCGATGGCCGCATTTTTCTCTCTTTGGCCAGGTATAAATGGTGACATGGTGCAAAGCAGAGGAGACTCAGTCTGTGTGGAAAGAAAATCAGCCAATACTAAAAAATGGAGTTTAAAAGAGAAACCTGTTTAGATGAGAGTTTTCTCTAGTCCATAAGGGTTTGTGCTAATCTCCCAAAGGTCAGGACAATAGGGGTATGTCTACACAGCAAGGTTATTTTGGAATGCCAGAGGTATCCCGCATCTTTTGAATGCGTCTGCTATTTTGAAATATAGCAGATGCGCTATTTTGCCATCCCTGTAAACCTCATTTTACGGGGAGAAAGGGATGGCTCGAAAATAGCGCTTTATTTTGGAATTTGGCGCTGTTTAAACAGTGCCAAATGACTACATAAGCTATATCAAAATAAGCGACATGATTTGCGTGGCGCAAATTGCGTATCTGATTTTGAGTTTCGGGTGCTGTGTAGACGCACCCTAGCAGAGCAAATCTTGTCTTTCTCTTATGCAAAAGTGATTCCTGTGAAAATTGGAGCATAGCAACGTTCACTTCCACAAATCAGGAATGATCATGTTTTGTGTATGTTGGCTTGAAAGACCCACACTCTGTTTTATATGCAACACGGGGTCTGAATGGGCATTCAGACGAATCTGCTGTTGATGCATATAGGAGGTTTCCTGTATAAGGCTGCGCCATCGACACCCGCTGGGTGTGATGAAATACAGAACATTACGTGAATCAAAGCATCACCGCTATTTTGAATATTTGCAAGTCCAGTCAGTGAAATGTGTTTCTCTTAGCAATAAATTCCCAACCCAAATCATTTCCTTATTTGCAATGGCTACAAAGTTTAAATGACACATGGTCAGATTGGTGTTTAATTCAGCCCTACTCCTGTTCTTCGGAAAGAAAGCAAGGGCACAGTTTATGCCAAAGGTGGAAGAGTATTAACGTCACAGAAACTTGGAGAACAATTCTAATTTCTGGATTCACAGCGATTTGTCTTGCACGGGCAGCTACATATTTGTCGAATTAATTATATGCAGGGCCTGCACACTGAACTACACCCCCGGAACAGCTGCTGTAGCCAACACCACCCGCCTGCGTATCAGTGAATTTTAAAAGCCAGGCCGCAGGCTGCACCCGTGTATCTGAGATCAAACTCAGACAGTGTGCACAGAACCCTTCTTATTAAGTGAGGGTAATAATTGATCTTCTTTGGCTTCGTGCTGGGTGGAGGCCCGCTGGCCCAGAAAGGGTTGAGAAATTCACTAGAGCAAGGTGGGCAAATACCAGCCCACGGGCTGGATGCGGTCTAGCAGGGTTAACTCAGGCAGGCCCCCACACCGCCGTATTTACCTGCACCTCCTCAGGTACGGGGAACACAGCGCCCATCGGCCACAGCTCGCCGTTCCTGGCCAGTGAGAGCTGCGATCGCCCGGACCTGCGGAGATGCAGGTCAATAGAGCAGCAGTGGCCCACACGGGCTAACCCTGGTGAATTGCCGCCGTTTTATTGCCCAGCCCTGGACTCGTGCCTACTCCTGGCATGTACGTTCAGAAGACCGTTTTAGGAGATTCTAGTGGCATTATTTGTGCTGGCCTGTCTGGTGCCAGGAGATGTCTCTCAGCAGGTACATGTATTCTAACTAAACGCCTGACAGACCTGCCTCGTTTCTTGAGAACTCATGATTAAGTGCCATTGTGACCTGGCCATTTCTTTACATGGAGCAATTCTCTTGGAGGAATTTAGAACACATGAAAGCACACGTGGTGTTCCTAGTTACTGCTGCTGAGCCAATGGCTAGGAAAAGCTAAGCTGCTTTAATCGCATACTGTGTGTATATTTTGTGTATTTAGAAGTCTCTGACAGACCTGTTCTTGTTTTTTCTTTCTCTTCCTCGTCCTCTTTCTGCATTGGCAGAGCATCTGGGATTTGAATTAAAGGGTACGGAACAACCATTCATTTGTTAACCAGAAGCCATTAAGAGCTGCCCATGGTCCTAAACATTACGGCTTTAACGGGATGATTAAAAAATCAGCTGTTCTGCTCTTTTTCCTGACACCCAGAAAGATATTTGGATGAAAAAAAAATTCAATGTGAACTGAGAAAAATTACCTGCGTATTTGTAGCAGCACGTTATCCTTTGCCGTGGACAGAGGCACATTGTGGAAGGCAGTAGTGCAATACCAAATCGCTATATGGCTCCTCACTGCAAATTTGTATTGATCTGGAAGGGCTGGGGATTGTGTCAATTTGGAAGGTGACCAGCAAATATCGCTTGGTAATGGACAAATATTCCGGTAACAGAATGTCTAGAATTTTGGCTCCTGGGGAGGGAGAAGGCCGGGAGTCTGCATGCAGAACTCTCCGTGGAATCACGGAGGATCGGGCTCCGAGTCAGGCTGGGTTTGAAAGACACTGGGTTCAGGAGAGAGCCAGCAAAGTTCTCCTGGAGGAGCGTTGGGGAGTGTTTTTCCATAGAGGGTGCTGGGCTTTCAGCAGCCCTGGGAGGAGAGGTTGTCCTTTTCAAAAGCACCTGAGGCCCGGACCCTCCAAGGCATACAGGCCATACGTTCTTTTGAAAATGTTAGATCATTTTAGGGAAAGGAAAACCCCGTTTGGCACAACACCTGGCTCCTTTCTGGGGCATCATAATCCCACACGTTTACCCTGTGTTCCCCTTAGTTCTCCCCAGAAGTACAGTGCGAGGGGGCTCTTGAGTTCGCATGTTGTGCTGCCTTCATCTCCGCCCGCACTGTCCCCCCTCCCGTTTCTTTGCTGCGTGTGCCATAGGTCTGTGTACCCCCTAAGTTCTGCATTGCCAACCCCCGAAGAGCCCGGCCCTTATTTGTGGCCATGCTGGGTTCTAGAACGAAGGAGCTGGCATAGAAGCGGACGGCCTCGTTCAGCCGCTAGTTCTTACTCCGAGCTCAGTTTCGCTTGGCTCAGACGGCGGGATTTGGCCTGCTGACTAGCTGCTGCTTCTTTGCAGACTGCTCTCGCACTCCCCAGGGGCCGTGGTCTGCACTCAGCTGCGCCCATGGAACCGCATGGGCGGCGGTGGGATTAGGCGCAGGTATCTGAGGGCAGAATTCGGTTTAAACGTCCAATCAAAGTGACCCGTGCTCTGTAATCCCGGCCTTGGCTACTTCCCGCGGGCCCCTGGGACCTGCCAGCATCCCTGTTGCCCTGTGCTGCAGCCTACGTGATCTGATTCATGCCCAGAACGGCTTTCCCCTCGGCCTCTCCCTCTTTGCGCCAGCGTCAGGGCAGCTAGAGAGAGGTGGCGGTGCAGGGGAGCAGTGGGGGCTTTTGGGCACCTACCTCTTTAGCTGGTGCTAAAGTCTTCTCTTAGCTATTAGTGCGAATCACCAGACACTAGTGTAATGGGAGTGAACTTTGTCTCCGGGGGACTCAGATCCTTTCTTCCCCAGGGGCCAGTCCTAGCTCGCATGGGTTTGAACGGAAACGAGGGCTAGCGTCTTGCGTCAGGCTCCCGGTGCTGGGTGTTTTCAGTCCCCAAGGGCTATTTGTCCACCTTTCCGAACTGTCACAACACCGGGCAGGACGGGGCCCAGGGAGTCGCCTCTGCTCCAGAGGAGCCAGACCCCGCCTGCCCGCAGTTCTAGGCTGCTGCTGGGGAGCTGCTTTGGGAGAAGGAATTCTAGAGTAACCGGTGCTGCTATTCAAATACCGCTTGGAAATGGCATTTGGAATTGAGGATTTTTGGCATCCCTTTCAGTTTCCTTCCCTCTTGTCTTCCTTGTTCATTCCCAGTGTCATTCTTAGGCAACAAATCTTCACATGCCGGCTCTTTCGCTGCCTTCTCTCCTGCATCCATTCCTCACTGCCCATCTGTTTGCTGTCGTACCATGGCTGGAGCGGTGCCTCTCTCTGCATTACGTGACACGCAATGATTTGTCCCCCACGTCACTGGTTTAGAATGAGGAGGGTGATGGCTATTATTGATTCTTTGGGGAGCATGGCACACCACAGACTAAAGTCCACTGACCCTACCACAAAGACCTGATCATCTGAATGAGGCATTCCATTGTGGCATCCGCTTGCGTGGTGTTTTCGGTCACTGTCCCCAGGAGTTTATGTGACCGGAAGGTTTGAGGTTCTGAGCTATCAGTGTCATGAGATTTTGTGGAGCCAATGAGTTGTTTTAATCTCAGGTTTGCAGCAGCGACAGGTGGCTCCAAATGTCATTGCTGCGGGCTTGTCACAAGCCCAGGCTCCCGATCCTGCATTTCTGGTGCATCCAAAAATTCTCCGTGAAATGAAATGGGATTTTTAGCACTTGCCAGGAAGCCAAAGTCAGGGTCCTGCATGGGATTGTGCTGCCCACTGAAGCTGGGTTTTGATTCAAGGGGAAAAGTTTGTGGTATAGATGAGAGTTGGGGGATTAAAACCAGCTGATTTGGTAGCTGTGCCTCCCCCATCAACCCCTTCTCCTTTTCTCCTGGAAATAAAAGGCAGGGTTTGCATCAGGAAAAAAAATAACATTTTTGCAGCAAAAAGTGTGAATCAGGAAAATTCTTGATGAAAACGTCATTTCACCTGGGTAGAATCCGATCACTTCCTCCTTCCCGCCTCTGATGAAGCACGTTCACGCGGCAGAAATTCTTGAACAGATTCACCCGTGAGCAGTGCAAGTCACGTCTCGCTGTTTTGGCAAATTATTATTAAATCTTTCAAAAATCCAGGCTCTTTGTTCACAAGCACAATCCTCCACCAGAGTGATCAAGCGGAGAACAAACGGCTTGCTGTCTGCATGGAATTAATCCCACCGGCTGTGAACAAGAGACTCTCAGAACTTTCCACACGTCTACCAGAGTTAACTGTAAATGAAGATCCCGAAAGGGGCCTTGTTCAGCCATCCATTTGTTTTTAGATTGGATTCAAATCAACATGAATTTGGAGTTTGCATAATCCAGGAAAAAGCTGTTCCCCCCCCCCCCATGTTAAATATGTGATTATGTCCACTCAAAGAATAATATAATGGAGATATACCATCTCATGGAGCTGGAAGGCACCTTGAGTCTGGTCTCCTGCCCTCACAGCAGGACCAAGTACCATCCCTGACAGATTTGCCCCAGATGCCTAGGTGGGCCCTTAGGGTTTGAACTCACAGCCTTGGGTTTAGCAGGCCAATGCTCAAGCCACTCAGTTATCTATTCCCCCCCCAACCACTCCCTGGAAGCAGTTCACAAAATCCATGGAAGGGAGGCATTTCTGGACTTGGGGCAGCCAGTCCTGACAGCTCCGAGGCGGGATAACTTCCTGTTTGAGAGGCAAGCAATGCCTGGAGCCCGTGGATCACGGCTCCCCTCCGCAAAATAAAATCCTGCTTGCTGCCGGGGTTAGCCGCCCTTCTTGTTTTTGTGCCCCTGGTGCCACCAGCTGCAACAGCCCAGTTGCTGCTCCTTCGCTATCAGTCACAAGTGTCGTAGACCAGGGTAGCCAGTGAAAATCTCCCAATCTCTGGTCCCTGCGCTCAGGGCATGGCCCCTCTGGGCTTTCTCCAGCTCAGTGACTTCCCACGATGGAATCTACGTTTCCGTGAATGATTCCAACAGCAGCACGGGGAGAATGTGGAACATTCGGCAGCGTGAAAGGAGCCAGACGGATGAAATCCAGGCACGGAGAGGCACAGATCTCTCTCTTTCCACCCTTCCCCCAGTGTAGAACATGCACAGCATCCCGCACCAGGCAAAAAATACAGGGCGGGGGGAGGTAAAAAGCAGAGCTAAACATCCCAATCCAAATGGGAGCGCTTCCCCAAAGAGGACACTGGAGGATTTGATGGAATGGGGAGGCCAGAGGGCATCCGATCAGACCGCAGGCTCCAGCCACCTAAGCATCTGTATGAGTCAGCCGCACAAAGGAGAGCCATCACCACTGGGCAGAAGGTCAGGATGGGACCTGGGCACCAGGAGGCCCCACCTAACCCCATAGGGCCAATGCAGAACCTTTGGGCTGCCCTTCTGCATAGGGGTAAATCTGAGCCCAGTTGAGGAGTACCTGGATGAATTGCTTCTCAGAGGGCACACGGACCCGCACTCACTATCGGCCAAGGAAAGCACACGGAGGTACCAAAGCTTGGGAGATTCTTGCTGCCACCCTCTCGAAGGAAGGAGGCTGCTGGTAGTGGTGGAACTAGGGTGCAGAAAGGACAGATTAGGTAAGAATTTCTCTGTTCCTGTCACCTGTCGTAACGACTCTGGTCTGCAGTGCGACTCTCCATCGATCCTGCCTTCGTTCCCTACCCAGAACCCGTATTCGGTTCACCAGACACGTGACAAATGGGGCATGTGCTAACTGTGCCTTAGAGATTCCCGGAGCAGCGTGGACTGAGCGAGGGGGGGTTCCTGCCCCTTTTGGAACGAACGCTCGCAGGTGCAAAACACAAGACTTCGGACTGATTTTTCCATGATGATAATGAATCTTGACACCCTCTGGCTTCTCAAGCAGCCATTTCTGTTTTGCTCCTTCTCTCAGAAAGAGAATCGTTTTTGCCACATTCGATACTTCCAAAAGCGGGGGGGTGGAGTGGAGAGAGGCTCAACTACCAAATTATTTTCTCTTAGCTTTGTTTTTATATTTATTATGCTCCTCCCATGCACGACCCTAGCATTCCTAGCACCTACTGCCATTCTTGCTCTCCTTCTGGTTTTACCTCCGATAGCTTTGCTGGGGGTAGCAGAAATAGTCTAGTGCGAGGGCGCCATTTTGGGCGTTCGGGGGGACAGCCACCGTGCGCTCCAGGACGTGCTTGCTTTTCATCCAGTGCCCCGGACACTAAGGGAGTGAGAGGAAAGTGCATGCATTCCGTGCATGCCTCGTACACCTGCCTGGTGAAGGGAGTTCACCAGCCAGGTGTGAGAGGAATGCAAACACTTTCCCCTCATTCCCTTAGTGTCTGGGGCATGGGATGAAAAGCCAGCTGCATCCTGGAGCACATGGCTGCTGTCCCCCCCGCACACCCGAAATGGCGCCCGTGGTCTAGTGAGAGCACATAGGGTACGTCTGCACAGCAGCGCTCTTTCGGAATTGCAAAGAGCGTGTCTACAGTGCAAGCCGTTACTTGGAAATATTGTCGAGCTGAAGGACGTCTTACTCCGACTCCTGTAACCCTCATTTCACGAGGAGTAAGGGGAGTCGGAGGAAGAGCGCCCTTCCCCTTGGACGTCCGGCTGGGTAGAGAGTTCCAAAAGCCGAGTTAAGCTATTTCGACTTCAGTCCGCAATGGACGTAATTCGACTTTTGCCCTGCTGTGTAGACGGTCCCGTAGTGTCCTCGGGTGGAACATTCCACCATAATGAGTTCCGGAGGGTTTTTCTGGCTTAATGTACATGAGAAAATGTTTTCGAGACTGGTAATGAAAGGACAAACACCAGGGATTCACGTTATCGGGGCAGATGGACTTACTCATGGGACAGGTCTTTTTTGGGATTCTCCCTCCCAGCAGGTAGTGGGCCAAGTTCTTCTCTGAGTCCTGCGGGCAGAAAGCCACAGTTACCCCAGCGATTTCAGGGCAGAACTTGGCCTCCTGCATTCATCCACGAAAAATGACTGTCCTTAGCCATGGGACGGGTCTCCTTGAGGATATCTGGGTTGAACGGCATTGACACAGTCTAAATAAGAGCTTCCTCCCAGCTCCATTCTGAAGAGTTTTAGAGACCTGGCCTGTTTGGATCAATTGCTTTCTCTCCAGGAGTGTGCTCTTAATCTCTTGCAAGTGACTGATGTCAGTGGCACTGAGAAAGCTTCCATTACAAATAACTATGGAGCTTTCTGGCTCGTTCCAGCCCTCTCTTGCTAGAAGCAATAGCTCGCTGTTGATGTGCATGTTAATTTCACAAGTGACTTGTACAGTGCAGTTGAGACCACGCAGTGTCCCATGAGTCCACGCATGCCTGGAACACAATGGCCATTGTAGATTCACTGAGATGAATCGGGATAGGTGGGAAAATTAATGTAGTTGCTTCCCAAGATTTCATTGAAAAAATCCACGGCTTTGGTTGGTTCCTAGATTTTCAATACTCTATCCCCTCCCTGTCTTCCGGCAGCCTCGGCACCTCTTCTCTATGCCTACCCAACCTTTGAGTATTTCAGAGTTTTTCTGTTCAGCACCCGAGTGCTTTTGTGCACCAGACTGTGTGGTCTCTGGAATAGTTCTAGAACCCGTAGCTTGCAGCTGTTGCAAGAAAGAATAAACCAGTCCTGAGACCATCAGAGAGAACCCAGAGATGCTGGACCTTGTGATGAGGCTATCAAAGGACCAGTGTGTACGGGTGGGCGTGACAATCAGAGGGCGGAGGTTCCAAACGCCAAAGAATAAGCAATGGTGCCAACTGGCTGTATGGGAGGTTGTTCTGTGTAGGGATGTGTTGGGTCAGGTCTTGTATGAAAGCTCGAAATGTGCTGGCCATGGTCTGTAATATTGTCACCCCCACCAGGTCTCTGAGGTGTGTGGAGTGTGTGTGTCAAAGTGGACTGGTAGTTGGGGATTTCAGGTCCAGTGTTCCCTCTAATTTTTTCCATCCATGTGCAGAATAAATGTTCCGTGCACCAAGGCAAATGCAGCCGTGCATCACCACTAGACGCACATGCTGCCGGCTGTGGACAGCTGAGGTGGCTCTGCTGAATAGCCGGTCGGCCCCTGAATCTCTCCTGAGTGGCCGCCCAAGCGCTCAGCTTGCAGGGAACGCTGTTCAGGCCCCCTGCAAGGGGTTGTGAGGCTGGTGGAAGACACGGGGAAAATGTACGTTCACAGGCTGAGCGCTGCTCTGAGCTGTGGCTGCTTAGCATTAAGGCACCACAGGTCACAGGGCAGGTGGTGACCGGACCCCGTACTGGGCTGGGCGGTCCCCAAAACGCCGCAGCGACGGTGTTGGCAGGATTCGGACTTGTGTGGGGAATGTATCGGTAGCCAGCCTACCAGCCTAAGGGTGACCGCCACATCCCCTTTCCGGCCCAAGTCCCTCTCAAGTTACCCAGAAAACAAACAGAAAGGTGCTCTCCACCCGGCACATCTGAACAGTTTCCCAGCATGCTCTGTGTCCAAAACAGGCGCTTCACTTGGAGGCTGATCCTCCGGTTTTGGGTCTCCTTCACCTCAGAGCCTCCCTCTGCCAAGGCTTTGCCAGTTTTTGCCTTGCTCTCAGACTACCGTAATTCATGGAGAGGAATCCCCTTCCGCTCCTAGGCTGGGTTCGCAGCCCCATAGTAAGTTGACTCAACTGCTGTGTTGCTGGGAAGTGTGAAAAATCCACAGCCCGAGTTACACTGTTAAGCCCCCGGGGTAGATAGTGGTAGGTTAGTGCCAGGGTGCGTCCATCAACCTACTTATGAGGTGGATGAGCTCCAGTGATGGGAGACCCCCTCTTCTGCTATTGCGAGGGTGGCCAGATACTAAGGGTGCAACATCCGGGTGGAGCCAGGGGCTAACAGGCGCCTTGTCACGGGGACATGTCCCTAGACAATGGGACATGTGCTCACCCTGCCGCGGGTGGGCACGCTGCCTACAGCCGTTCAAGTTTTGCAAGGCTGCACCCTCTACCCCACGTTGATTCTGCGTTTTCCCGTTCACTCGGCTGGCCCCCCGTGGTCACGTCCATTGTCCCAGGCAGTAAGTTCTGTGTAAACAACTGGCTCAGTGATTGTACTAACAGCTGCCTGCTAGTGTAGTTCCGGCCACGAATCCACTAGTCTGTATACACAATGACACACCCGCCTAACCCCAGGCGGCACGTGGCCCGTCCAGTCGCAACACTCCCAGCTTTCATGAAAGACCTGACTTGGCATCGTTAGAAACCCAGCAGCATTGTATCCAGCCAGCCGATTCAGTTGCTTATTCTTTGGGGCTTGGACCCCCCCCTTCTTTCTGTGAGCTGTCAGGACCCTCGCTGTCGCCGTGGACACGGTCAGGGTCCTGTTTGTTGGACACCCGGGGAATCTGCTGGGAAGGAAAGAGAAGAGTTGTGGGAGCTCATGGGCTAGAGGGAGAGCGGGAGGGGAAGGAGAGTCAATACTAAGTTTGCTGGGGAGCAGAAGGGTGGGATCCCTAGATGGGAGCAGGGAGAAGAGAGATGAAGAGGAGGGGATGGCAGGAGATCTCAGTGTGTGGGGGTAGGTTGGGGATAATCATCCACCTCTTTGGGTGCTTCTCAGAGCTGACCTATGGGACACTTTGAGATCTGCCCAGGCGTAGGCCATATCGGTAGGATGCTGCTAGTTCTCGTGTGTTCAGAACACGTCCTCTGCAGAGGAGCCGGGGTTTAACTAGCCTGTCATTCTCCCCTTTGCAGAGGCCGAAGAACTCTATCAGAAGAGAGTGTTAACCATCACGGGGATCTGCGTGGCTTTGCTTGTGGTCGGAATCGTGTGCGTGGTCGCCTACTGCAAAACCAAGTGAGTGGCAGCCAGCAAGCCCAATTGGACAGCTATATTCCAGGTTGGGTTCACGTGTTCCGCGATAGCCCGGGCCGACCTACGCTGTTGCACAAAGGAGATGCTGTGGAGTGCTATCTGCGTCCACCAGAGAAAACACCAGGTCTAACAGGGCTGGGAAGTGGAAAGCGAAAATCTCTCTATGCCTGCCCTTGCCCCAGAGTTCATAGGTGTTCCACGAAGTGCAGGATGTTCTCCGGTTCAGCCGAATCCACCCCGTTTTACTAAGTGAGTCAATGCCCCGTGGGTGCGAGAATGAGGCTCCGCTAGTACCGGGACCTAGTGACCACGGCGTCTCGTCCCAGCCCTGCTGACGGTGGGCCGTGTTTCAGCAAATTCCGTAGCAATGACCATTGAGCAAAGCTTCGTAAGCATCCCTGGCAGACAATCAAAGAGATTTCCCTCCATTTCACAAATAAGTCAGCTGAGAGGTGGCACAGGGTGGTTGGTGGCAGTAGTGTGATTGGAACATAGGTCTCCATGGCGCAAACCCAAGTCTCCTTCAATACCTCATCAAATCAATATGCCACATCTATGTGCCTGGCTGCTCTAACCACTAGACAACACTTCTCTCCCAGAGCCGGCAGTAGAACCCAGGACTCCTTATTCCCAGCCTTCTGCTGCCCTCTAGAAAATGGTTATCTAACCTGCCGGCAAAGTGCATGTTCCCCTCATCCCCCCTTCGGTGGCTGCACCTCCCTGAAGATGATGGTTGCTCCTTGAGTTTGGGCGCAGAGGTCCAAAGGTCCAGGGCTCAGGTCTTGCTGACGGCCCATCGGGAGAGTTCTCTGGAGGGCTGAAGCTAGAGCGGGGAAGCTGAACTTAGATTCAGGCCGGAAGTGAGGTGTAGCACCTAACCGTGAGAGTACTCCACCATCGGCGCAGGTGACCGAGGGTCCTGGTGGAGTCTCCCTCACTGTCCATTTTGCAGCCTGTATTGGGTGTTTTCCTAAGAGATCTGCTCTGGGGGTTATTTGGGGGAAGCTTTCTAGCCTGAACTAATATAGACAGTCAGACTAAGCCGGCCACCATGGTCAATTCTGGACCTGTCATCTCGGAAGCTGTGAATTTTCTTTTGAGATATCTACGGGTTTATTTAATTCACGGAGTGAGGAAATAGCTTTAAAAAGGGGTGTCAGCCCAATAACCTGTCCGTCACGGTGGGATGTGCGCCAAACCCCACATGTTCCACATGGCGGCCAGCTGTCGCACGTCAGCTTGTGTCGCCCCGTGACCGGCTCGAAGGCCAAGAGGTTCTCCGCGGGAAGGACAAAAGCACCAGGTGCACAGATACTCTCTTGGTTACTGGCGCTTTTGAACACGTCTCCCATTGGCCCAGGTAGAAATTTTCATGTCATCTGCACCGGGGGAGGGGGAAATCCTGCACCCGGAGCGGGCAGGATGCCCCTACGAGATGAGAAGGGAAGGGGAACGTGTCCTTGTTGCACCGGCTGGGTTGGCCGGGCCTGGGCGGTGGAGGAAACATCTGTGCTTCCGTGGGACTCCTCCGGGTGGCCCAGGACAGGCAGTGGAGACAAGCTACTGCAACTCTGGCCCAAAGACCATCTGACTTCAGACCATCCGTTTGGGTTTGGGCCCACTGTGGCGTACGTGCTCCGGGAAACCTCAGCCGTAGAGAGGCCCTACGCTTGTAGACTTCCCTGCTGTAAGCGTCTCTGGGACGGGAGGTAGATGCACAGCGTCGCCCTCGTTGTCTGTCTTCCTTGCAGGCTTGGGTGTGAAGAGTCCGGTGAGCTATCAGAATTGCCAGTAAACCCCCTTCCTGCATTTCTCCTTTGTGTGTTTGTAGGAAGCAGCGAAAACAAATGCACAGCCATTTGCGGCAAAATATGTGTCCCGCCCATCCGAACCGAAGCCTGGCCAACGGCCCCAGTCACCCCCAGCTGGACCCGGAGGAGATTCAGATGGTGGATGTAAGTGGCATTGGTGCAGAACGTGTGTTGAGAGTCTGTGATTTTGGGCAGGTTCTCAATTGGACGTTAAAAGCTGAGGACTAAGACATGGGGCTCCGGTTCCGAAAGCTAACGTTGAATGGACGTTTGTTTTTAAACATGGCTGGGCCAGGACAGAAATGTAGGAACTAATCACGTTACATCCTCTTGGCCGCTCTGTGGATTGCCCCGGGTATTTCCTGTTCCTTCAGGATATCCCAGAATGCACCATTCTGAGCCACTACAGATACCACGGACTCCATAGCTGCGTCTCTCTTTAGGAGCCATCGGTGTGCATGGCACTTTACATGGGGTCTTATCCGGCCACCTGCTTCCACTGGGTAGCACTTTGCTCAAGGTGGAAGGTCTCGTCGGTGCCACTCGGAGAGGCCCCGTTTAAAACCCAGCAAAGGCCTTGGTCACACGGTCAGTGTAACGTACGTGGGTCGCTCCATTCCCTTCAATGGGGCTTGGAATGTGACTGGGTTGATCTGGGGCATTGCAAAAACGAAAGCAGGAGGAACTCAGAGGTGGGAGGAGAAAACACGCAGGTCGAGATTCCCTCCTGTGCCGGCAATTCCCAGTGTCCGAGCGCTCCACTTTGCAACCGTCACGTTGGACCAACAGTGTGACGTGTGATGGTTTCTATATAGCCCTGTTGGCCCTGGGGACAGGTCTGGCGGGTCCCTTGCCAGCTGCACACATGCTACACTCAGACTCAAAGGCGGGAGCTAGGAGTATAGACAGGCATGAAGACAGACAGACAGAAAGCAGCACTAGCGCCTGCACAAACCTGTGCAAAATCTATTCATGCTGTGAGTAGGACCAGTCCCTGCGAGACCTGTGGCTGATCACTGCCAGCTCAGGGGACCTGTTGGTATAAACATACAGACTCATCTCCATGTCTCCCAGTGTTCAATCAGTGGTACATGTAGTGGCCCAGAAATCGATGGTATGTGCAGTGGCCCAGAAATCCCTGGTACGTGCAGTGACCCAGAAATCACTGGTACTTGTACTGGCCCAGAAATTGATGGTACATGAGTGACCCAGAAATCGCTGGTACGTGAGTGGCCCAGAAGGCGCTCAATGTTCATCGAGGCGCTCTGGTGGCGCTCCGGTGAGGCGCTCCGGTGGCAGCCTCTCTATGATGCAGTGAAGAGCCCAGAGCAGAGCCGCAGAACAGCCACGGCTTTCTCACGGCCTGTAGCTGCTGTTGGCCTCTCTCCTGTGCTCCTTGCAAGCTCTGCTGTGTAGACTCAGGGGCAGTCCAGTGCGAAGGGACCGGCGTGGTCCGCACATCGCAGGCCACGGACCCGCGCCCACCCGACCTCCAATCCCGCCACCGAGATTCCAGCAGCAGGGACAGTGGGTATCGCAGGCCACAGGCCAAGCCTCCGTAACCCCGAGTTGTGCCCTACCACAGCCTGGCCCAGTGCCCTGGCCTGGCTCCCCCCGGCCCTGCACAGCCGGTGAGGGTCCCAGCACTTGGGGGCCAAGCCCGTGTCCTGGAGCCGCTTGAGAGTCGGGTTGGTGGCCCAGGGTCCGAGTTGTTTGGCCAAGGCTCCTCCAGCCGGGGTGGGGTGGGGTGGGGAGCTCGGAGCTCTGGCAGGTGGAGGTGGGGGCCGGACCTCGCATAGCAGGGGCAGGGCTGGGGGGCTGGTGTCCCTGCAGGGGTATTCCTGCCCTGCGCGTGTCCCCCTGCGTTACTAGCTTGAACCTGCCCATGACCTGGGCTCCTGGCTGCGGAGGAAGGAGACCCCCCCCCCCTCCAGTTAATCCAGGAGCCGTAGTCTGAGGCTTGGGACTCTCTTTATTCCAGTACATTTCTAAAAACGTTTCTGCCACTGAGCACGTGATACGGCGGGAAACGGAGACGACGTTTTCGGGAAGTCACTCCTGCTCCCCATCTCACCACTGCTCCACAGCCACCCCGACTTCAAGCCAGAGGTGAGTGCCCCCATCCCTACTCTCCCTCTCAGACTCTCTCCCGACTGTAGCGAGAAGCCCATCGCGTGAGTCACAGCAAACGCAAAACGGTTTTGCTTTTCCCCGCCTTGCTCACGGCTCGTGGGTCTGCGCAATGTCCGGTCACTTCGGGAGCGTCTACACGGCCCCCTCGCTCTGCAAGTGGCACCGCTTATTTTGAAGTCATTTCGAAATAAAGGGCTGTTCCGAACGTCCCTTAGCCCTCGTGGAACAAGGCTGACAGGGACGCCGGAACAGTGTGCCCGTGATTTCGAAACCGATTTTGAAATAATGGGCATGCTCAAAAGATGCGGAATAGCTGTTTGGGGATACTCCCGGTATCCTGCAAGAGCGCCGCAGTGTAGACGTTGCCCTAGAGTGGCGCAGAGGAAATAGAGACGCGAGAGAGAAGCCGTGGCAAGTCTTTGCATGCTGTTTGATTTGGTAATCGTTTTGGACGAAACCCTTATCGGCTGTGGCGTTGGGAACACACACAACTCGGACAATCGGCGCACACTCGACACCGGGGAACATTTTCAAGAGTAACGCAGGAAAAATGTTCAGATGCTCCTAAGTCTCTTTTACCAAACAAAAAGAAAAGAAAGTAGGGCCAGATGTTTAGAAATATTTAGGAGCCTGAAGATGAAAAATGGGCTTTGCAAAGGAGCACATTCTGTACTGTCCGACTGTGGATCCATCTAGATCATTAGGCACCTACTTATCTGTAAAAGTCCAGCCCTCAAGTGCCTACGTCGCTTCTGAAGATGGGACGTAGGCTTCTAAGGCATGTAGGTGCTTTGAAACCCTGACTCTGTCTCTCATCTGCACGCTGCTGGCCTCTTTCTTAAGTGCTTCAGGCGGCACTAGAGATGGAGTTGAACTGCACAGTTTGGGTTCTGATCCCTGTGTTGAACAACGCACATTTCAGAGGTATTCCCGGGGCATTTCCAAAATACAGATCTGGAGCCAGGCGGAGCTCTGGGAAGCCCTGACTTGTCAAGAGGGCTTGGAGTCCGGGGTTTGGGTTGGGACCCTCACTCACAGTTTCCCTTTTCAAAATGTCAGAGCTCAGACCTCTGACCCCAGAGCTCTGAAATACAGCTTTCTCGTGGCCTTGTGGGGGCAACGGTGCTTTTCCTCCGCTAGCCATGAATATGCTTTGCATGTCTGCACGTCGGATGAAGGCTGCCAGGAAACATTTAGCACTAAACTTCAAACCGAGCAGTCCCTTCGCAAGCTACACAAACAGGAAGTTGTCCACAGGACAGCTCACGATATCTGTACATACATTCGTCCCTGAAGTGCGCCTAGCTGTGCATTTCGCACAGGCTGTTGCCTGCATATTTTAGACATACGAATGAATTCTTTACTCACATTAGAAATTATTCTACTAGACACTCCCATCATGTGTACGAAGAGAGGATGATATATATTGGTAAACGTTTAGGTGCAGATTTTCAAAATTAGAGTCCGATTTGGCAGGTGCACTTTTGTCCAACAAAAACTTGTTTGTGTAATTTGTTGCAGGCAAAAAAACAAAAACCAACGTTGGTGCAGATGTGCAGGTGTGTGCCTTACACCTACCCATTGGTGGGTCATTCTGAACATCTGGATCTCAGTGTTTGTGGGGTGAGGTCATCGGTGAAATAGCATAAGGCAAGGGATGTCAGGGCTGATTCGGATCTCAGACCAGTTGCCTACCAGTGTAACTCCAGCACTGGCAGGTGCTGATTAACCCTTTGCACACCAGCTGTTCTGTGAGGGAGGCCCAGACAGCAAATGTTACCTTCTCTAGAAGACATTCTCCTACGTAAGTTGCTGGAGCCGTGTGGCGGTTCTCTTAGCCAGGCCTCAAAACTTGGGGACAGAGACATAACGTTTTTAGGGATTGTGCATTCACGAATTGCTCACACAATGCACACGAGGACGTGCAATTCTATGCAATGCACAAGAGGGCATGCAAAAGACTTTGCATGCCCAACCCCTGTGTACGTGGTTGTGGGAGGTGTTTTGCACTCACTTCACAAGAGTTAGGCCTTATGGCAGGCAGGTACCCATTTGGGATTTGCAAAGTGCCTAACTCCCATTGAAAGCCGGTGGAAGTGAGGTGTCTAACTCATTTAGGCATTTGTAAATCCCACGAGGCACCAAAATACTGCTGTGAATTGACTCTTGGTCTCTGAAACCGTTTCTCTGAACAAACCGCATGGAGCAAATCCTCCTTAAGACATGCCCGGAGCAGATCGGTGGCCATTTCACTCCTCTTTTCCAACTGGAGTTGTAAATGCAGCTGGTGATGGAACCTCGGGTCTGTTTTCTTGCTCGGGCATCCCTGTGAAACCTCTGCGGGTGTAACTCCATCAGCTCTGCACGCTCATGCCCGTCGGGAAGGGCGGAGCAGACTGGGGCGGCCTTGTGGAAACTCGGAGGCCAACCAAATGCTGCACACGTTGGGCTGATTAGCACTCCCTGGAGACCGACTGTGCTTTGCTTTGCCTCGGACCGCCTGTGCTCCCTCCCCTTCGCTGCACACTGGCTCCGAGTGCCCCTAGAGGTGTCTGCTGGTCTGACCCTCTTCCAGATAGCGCTGGCCTCTGCCGCACGGAGCGCTCCCTGCAGGACGGGTGTGAGCAGCACCTGGACTTGAGCTGCTTTGCTCTAATCATTTTGCCGGCACAAAGCGGCATTCACCGGGCCTCGCGTTTAAAGCCCCGGTGCCCCGGGCACCCTGTGGGTGAGTAGCTACAGGGATTGCTTTGGGGGGATCTCTCTGAGGGTGTCAGTGCGCATGTGCAGCTGGCCACGTGCCCGATCGCCACGTGCCTTGCGGCTGTTTGTCCTGCTGGAACCCAAACGGCACCCGCATTCAGTTCTCCCATCGCCGATCTGTGCTTTGCTCCGCAGGCAGGAGAGCCACACGTGGAGCTTGGACCGGACGGAGAGCCTGACGTCGGATTCGCAGTCTGGCGTGATGCTGTCGTCGGTGGGCACCAGTAAATGCAACAGCCCTGCCTGCGTGGAGGCCCGCGCCCGGCGAGGCGCCGCCTGTTGCGTGGAGGACTCGCGACGGCCCACGATGCACTACAGGGATTCCGTGGATTCGCTGCGAGATTCGCCGCACAGCGAGAGGTTCGCCCTGACACCACCGCTCCGGGGCGGCAGGCTCTGTCCTGGCTCCCTCGGCTCCCCTGGGGGGTGGGAGAGACAGAAGAGAGGGACAGATCCAGGCTGGCCCTAGAGCTTCCACCAGAACCGCGAGGGGGGGGGCGGCTTTGAGAATGGGCCCAAGCAAAAGCTTCTGAGGCCGATGCCGAACTAACTCCCAGATCTCTCCCTCGCGCCGGCGGGGCCCGGTGCTGGGGGGGGGGGGCTGGAGCCGAGGGG